ATTATTACGTTTTGAATATGGATATTTTTCTTACAAAAACGCATCGATTCGCTACGGAAGGCCTTTGTTCACCCCCCGGAGCCATGTGAGACACTTTTTTTTATGGATGGGCACTTTTTATTTAACTTCTTTTGGACTGATGCATGCAACACCCGCTGAGTGCCATGAAACAGCTTGAAAGATCAAAGACAATTTTTAATATAACTCAAATATAACTGGATTCGTCTGAAAGAAGAAAGTCATATACACCTAGAATGACTTGAGGGTGAGTAATTTATGGGCTAATTTCATTTTTGGGTGAACTATCCCTTTAAGAGAAATTTTGACCTTAACACACAGTCACAATCATTTTCTGTTTTCTGTTTTCTTTTCTGCATGCTTCTGCATTCTGGTCACATTATACACGACTATGATTTGGCAGACCAAAGTTTTTTTTTTTTCAGGAATTTTTTTTCCCTGAAAATATGTTCAAAATAATATTTTTTAACTAATTTTTAATTATATATATTTTATGATAATATGAATATGAATCCTTCTTTTGATGAGGCTTCATTATGATATCAAGGCAGTTGTCTCACTCTGAAAATTTGGAATTTAAGCCACATTTTAATTCAGTTTAATTAAAAAAAAAAATGTTCATGATAGAGGATGTGTATTCAAGTCCTTGCACACTGTAAAGATTATTGAAGTACATTTTATTAAAAAAAAATACTATTTCAGTCATTCTACTTTTAAATTTCATGTTTAATTCAATGTGTTTCTTGCAGTTTCTTTGTAATTCATTGTTAAATTTACTAGTGAAATTCTAAGTGAAATTTTTTTAATGCATTTTTTAATAAATTAATAGATCTGAACAGCAACAACAACAGTTCCTCTTTTTTAACATCTCAGACATTTAAAGATATCAACTTACGATCAACCTGTTTTAGTTTCACAAAGCAAAATTTAGTTTGATGATTCCTGCTGTCTAGTCTAACGGAAATTTTGTTTTTTAATCACAAAGACCGAATATTAATTTCAAAGAAATAGTTATGAGAAAAATGTGCAATCATGAAAGTATGATTGCTGTGAGTCCTTCAAGATTCACCCTATAATAACAGCTGCTGGCTGCATTTACAGTTTTTTGAGCCAACATACCTTCCTATTATTTGACTTCCCTCTTTGAAAAGGGAAACGTACTTTAATGTAAAGAAATGAATGTGCTGAAGAACTGAACTTACGCTAGACGAGGTTCAACTATCAAAGGCCCCTTGGTTCCTGCCAGAGAATACATATGTCCTCTAATTATTTATGGCAGTGGCCTGACCTGTGAATCTCGATAAAAATGTGTATTATGGAAATAGTGAGTGGTAAGGGATTGATTGGGGTTGAAGAAAGAGAGAGAGGTACAGATGTAAGATGCTGAACTCCTGCAAGCTGGCTCTCATTTTCTCACAGGCACATTAATGAGAACCTGCTGTCAGCTATGAAGACTGAAGGTGAAGGTTATATCTCAAAACTGGTCTGATGACAGCTTTAACCCTGCACTGATTCTCAGGAAAAACACAACTGACCAGCAACTAGAAAATACATACAATTCATGCTACAACTCGTGGTTGCAACGGTTTAAATTTATAAACATCTTAATGCTGTATTTGTTTCAGCTTTTGTCTTCTCCAGATGTTAACTGATGGACTGGAGTGGTGTGGATTACTTGTGGATTATTGAGATGTTTTTATCAGCTGTTTGGACTCTCATTCTGACGGCACCCATTCACTGCAGAGCATCCATTGCTGAGACACTGATGCAACGCTACATTCCTCCAAACCTGATGAAGAAACAAACTCACCTACATCTTGGATGGCCTGAGAGTGAGCACATTTTTGGCTAAGTTTCATTTTTGGGTGAAATATTCCTTTAAGTAACTTTAGCCATAAATTATTTATTAAAACACTTAATCTTTCACAGCCTTTTTGGTTTATTCCTTGTAAAGACAAAGTAGTTAGTTGCAAAGCAATTTCTTTTATATATTTATGTTGCAGGGCTGGGTACAATTCAGAATTAAAAATTTGGCTCCTTTTCAATTCACAAGTTGAATTTTGAACCAAATGACCTAAACACCACCAGGAATGCATTTTGGACAATTAAGCGTTCCTCCACTCTGGTTCACAAAAGTTCATTTCTTAAATATTATATTTAAACTAAATACAAATTTCTAGAGTTGGTTTCAAACTCATCCGTCATTCTCTCTGACTCTAAAACCTAAACTATGGAAGCCAGTTTCCATAAAAAATATAAGATTCTTTAAGTCATAATGATAAGAAACATTCTCATAATTATGATTCTGTGTCTCATTATATAGAAAAACTTTCTCATAACAATGACTTAGTATCTCATACTAATGAGAAACTTTCCGGTAATTATGACTCGGTATGAGAAACTTTCTCATAATATTGTTGATGTTAGACTGTTGAACAGTTGATGTTAAATCAGTTGAATTGTTTTCTAAAATAACTGCAAATTTAGTGACCAAGTGAGGGTTTTGTTACTTGCCAATAACAACTTTGGTCAGAAGAAAATTTTTTGTGGCCAAAGTAAACATAAGCACATTTTGATTGTTGAATATTTATATAGTTGATCTGATTTTTTCCAAGCCATTTCTATGTAACTAAGCAAAAGTAAATAGACTTTCCAATAAAACGAGACCCTGATTGATGCAAACTTTAGAAGATGCCATCTGGTCTCTAATCAATATTAGTAATCCCTCTATTCTGGCTAGACAGATGAATATTGACACGTGCACACAACATAAACACAACAAAGGGGCAAACAGAGGACACAGATCTCCTAGAGAGCTAAACTTGTCTCATCATCATAGAGACCAAGGGCTATTACTTTACAGCTAGAAACGAGTCTTTAAATGCCTACTTCTTCCCAGCAGGATCCCAAAGATGGGAAACCCCAGCAGCTAACCTGTATTTAATGAGGCCTCTGAACCTATGACCTTTAGAAGCCTTAGGGGGATTTCTCCATCAGGACTATTCCCCAGTAAACCCAGTGACAAGAAAGATCCAAAGAATTCACAATCTGCCTTAACATTGCTACATAAACACTCCATTTATATATAAAGTGTTGCTTGAACACTTAGCAGGTCACTCATGCTTTGGCTCAGAATTATCATTGTCCTGTGTTCTACTGAAGAAACTAAGTCACCTACATCTTGGATGCCCTGGGGGTAAGCAGATAAACATCACATTTACATTTTTGGATGAACTATCCCTTTAAGCTTCCTCTAACTCTGTAAGGATGATCTGTCTTGCAATGAGAAAGGGTTTGTTTGTGTGACCCACTCAGAGGCTTAAAACTGGACCCTACAGAGTGATGAACGATGCAGGAACCAGAGCCACTGCAAGCAGTTCAGTTTCACTCAACGGTTCATTTTCTCCATCATTTGATCTATCATCCATCACACTGATATACATGAAAAATGTTAGCCACATTATATAAAATTATGAACTATACTTCACATATTTTGCCTTAATGATGACAGATGACCGTGAGTGTTAAAGGGGTAAATACCACAGCATCACTCGCCAAAGAATATGAATTATAGAGCTACCAAATTAAAGCCTTACTGCAAAAGATCGCTTGCAAAAAACCAAATGAATATCTTACATATTTTCCGATAGTAATATGAGTAAAATGGTTCTTTTGAGAAATGTTCACTGAAAGATTGTTTGAGGAACCCAGAATATTTCTATTGCGTTAAGAGTTATTTCTTATGAACTAGAAGCACCCTTACAAAAAAATTTAATTTTATTAGTGGGATAGTTCACCCAAAAATGAAAACTCTGTTATTTACTCTTTGTTCAACGGAAGAAAGAAACTTGTGCATCTTGAGGGTGAGTAAATGATGACAGTTTTCATTTTTGGGTGAACTATACCTTTAAGCAAACTTGAGGAAAGTTCAAGTTTATTTTCCAGGTTTACTTTATGTATTAAATATAATAAAAATCAAAATGTACAATGTATACTTCTTGTGACTAAATTGGCACTTTTTTAGTTTATAAAAGTATGCTGTTAAGCAGTGTTGGGGAAAGTTACTTTTAAAAGTAATGCATTACAATATTGCGTTACTCCATAAAAAAGTAACTAATTACGTTACTTAGTTACTTTTTATGGAAAGTAATGTGTTACTTTACTAGTTACTTGAAAAAAGTAATCTGATTACATAACTTGCGTTACTTGTTATGCATTACCCCCAACACTGCTGTTAAGTGTACTTTCAGTTTAATAGTAGTATGCTTCAAGTACACAACTATATATATAAGTTAAATATAAGTTTTTCTTTTGTATTGCAATTTAAAACTATACTGTTAGGCCTACACTCCTCTTACGTTCCTCTTTTGGAACAAGCTTTTAAATAATAGGTAACACTTTACAATAAGGTTACATAACATGAACAAACAATGAACAATACATTTATTACAGTATTTATTAATCTTTGTTAATGTTAGTTAATAAAAATACAGTTGTTCATTGTTAGTTCATGTTAGTTGCATTAACTAATGCTAACAAGCACAACTTTTGATTTTAATAATGCATTAGTAAATGTTGAAATTAACATTGACTGAGATTAATAAATGCTGTATAAGTATTGTTCATGCGTAGTTCATGTTAACTAAACTAATGAACCTTATTGTAAAGTGTTACCAAATAATACAGTTCTAGGGTAAAACCAGACAAACTGAGTTAAGTTGTGCAACTGACCCAAACAACTGAATGCAAAGGCAGGAATTAGATTAAATGAAGTTTTATTTTTAATGCATTTTTGCGTTTGTATATAGGCTACTTAACGTTTGTATTGACCTCGATATTGAATCTCTTTATGTCTTGATATAAACAATAAGTGTGGGTCAAGGAGGATAAATGACTTCGAACGCTGCAACTAACTAGCTTTTTTGAGGCACAGCCCATATGCATAAACCAGCACAATGGACATCTGAGCGCTTTCCCTCGCTCCGCCCAGACTGTGCTGTGAGAAGAGCAGGTTGGTAGAGAAGCGCACTCACTCAGTTAATTATCCGCGCGCTGTCCAGTGAAACAATGTTGCGCGCGTGTCTGGCTCTGCTGCTTGCGCTCTCCTTACCTGGATATCTGGATGCGCTTCACGGATTATACGCCTTCGATCAGCCCGAGCTCTTTCAGAAAAAGAGCAACTGCAAACCCATACCTGCAAACCTGCTCCTGTGCCATGACATCGAGTACACGGGCATGCGTCTGCCCAACCTCCTCGGACACGAAACCATGAACGAGGTTCTGCAGCAGGCATCCTCCTGGACCCCTCTGGTGCAAAAACAGTGTCACCCGGACACCAAGAAGTTTCTGTGCTCTCTGTTTGCTCCGGTGTGTCTGGATGATCTGGACGAGCCGATTCAGCCGTGCAGGTCGCTGTGTGAGAGCGTGAAGAGCGGCTGCGCTCCGGTGATGGCCGCTTTCGGGTTCCCTTGGCCGGACATGCTAGACTGCAATCGCTTCCCTCTGGATAATGACCTGTGCATACCACCTGCGGGCGCAGATGCTTTAGTGCCAGTCACCAAGGAAGGTAGGAACGCTTCATTACAGTCACTTTTTAGATGCATGTTGACCCTTTACTTTTTCTGCTATGATGATCATTTTTTGCCCAGTTCCAAGGGTGTGTGATGCCTGCAAAGAAAAGCCTGAGAATGACAATGAAATTGTGGACAGCCTGTGCAAAAATGACTTTGGTAAGGCTATATGTTATCATTGTTTTAAGCATCTCAATTAATATAGTGGTGTGTCTCTGCTTTACACTTCTAAAAATAAAGGTGCATTAGGGCTATGCAGCCTAATAAGCGAACAGGGTTCACCCAAAAACATGACGATCATTTACTGACCCTCATATGTGACCCTGGAGCACAAAACCAGTCATAAGGGTCAATTTTTCGAAATTGAGATTTATACATCATCTGAAAGCTGAATTAATAAGCTTTCCATTGATGTATGGTTTGTTAGGATAGGACAATATTTGGCCGAGATACAACTATTTGAAAATCTGGAATCTGAGGGTGCAAAAAAACCTAAATATTGAGAAAATCATCTTTAAAGTTGTCCAAATGAAGTTCTTAGCAATGCATATTACTAATCAAAAATTAAGTTTTGATATATTTACGGTAGGAAATTTACTAAATATCTTCATGGAACATGATCTTTACTTAATATCCTAATGATTTTTGGCATAAAAGAAAAATGTATAATTTTGACCCATACGATGTATTGTTGGCTATTGCTACAAATATACCCCAGTGACTATTGTTCTGTTTGACCTGCTTTCTTTTGCAGAATGCAAGTGAAGATATTTTTATGAATATTTTTGTCCATACAATGAAAGTCAATGGGGTCCAAAACAGCCAGTCTTCATACAGGCCAAAAAAAAAAAAAATCAGAGACAGATCAGTTTCTTTTGTGTTACATAGAAGAAAGAAATGCATACAGGTTTAGATCAACATGAGGATGAGTAAATGATCACAGAAATTTTATTTTGGGGGGAACTATCATTTAAATCCCACAAATCATTTAATAATTTTTGATTATTTATGCACGTATTTGAAAACCATCTGATGCTTTGAAGAACCTATAATATAACATCAAGAACTCTTTTAATCATATTCTGTAACTGCTGGAAAACCTGCTTAAACCAGCCTAGGCTGGTTTACTGGTCTTAACTGATTTAGGATGGACTCTTATCCTGGTTTAGCTTGCAAAACATTCCTCAAAAACTAGTCAAAAGACCAGACCAACAAACCAGCTTAGGCTGGTTTCTGGCTTTTAAGCATAGGACCCTATAAAGTGAAAATAATATCCAAAAACATTCATTGTAAAGAGTTTAGACAAAAGTCATTCATCTATTTGGTCTACCTTGAATTCAAGCAGTTGTTTATATCCATTGTCCTCAACCTTCAATCGTATTTACACACCAGCTTTAAAGATCAAAGTCAAGGAGATCTCCTACATGAATGGCGACACCAAGATCATTCCAGAAACCAAGAGCAGAACTATCTACAAGCTGAATGGAGGCATTACTGAGCGTGACCTCAAGAAGACGGTGCTCTGGCTGAAAGATGGTCTTCAGTGCGTGTGTGATGAAATGAACGACATCAATGCTGCTTATCTGGTGATGGGCCAGAAGATGGATGGAGATCTGGTCATCATGTCGCTGAAGCGCTGGCAGAAGGGTCAGCGGGAGTTCAAGAGAATTTCTCGCAGTATTCGCAAACTTCAGTGCTAGGATTCTCCTCTAATCAGAGCACTCAAATGGTCTTGAATATGAAGACCTGTAACAGTCACACCGTAGATAAATGCATTCAAAACCCTAATGTCTGCTTTCCCTGGCCAGTCAGAGTTCAGGATCGAGGGTGATGGAGATGATATGCACCTAGCATAGATTCACCTTTTCGTTTTCCCTTATACGTTCTGTCAGTTTGCTTCATCTGTCGTATTAACTATTCACAAAGCTCATTCGCTTATTCCTCTCTTCAAACATTTGTAACTATAGAGCCCCAAAACTGTCCTGACATATATATCTTCTAGCATAAAGTCAATTTTCACTGTTATTTTTTTTATTGTAATTGGATTAAATGAATGAGATGATACATTATATGGCCAGAAGTATGTTCTAATTAATGAGTTCTGCTATTCCATTATTTATATATGTCCCTGCATTGAAAGTCCACGTCACCAAAACTGCAATGCTTACAAAAGTTCTTACAGTAAAGACATTGTTAAAGTAATTCATATGAATTGAACAGTTGAATCCAAGTCTTCTGAAGAGATACAATCGCTTCATATGATGAACAGATTTCATTATATAAACATTGATCAATGCACATGTGCACAAAAAATATGGTAAATGGAAGCTCGAATATTTCTGCTTGATTCATAACAACCAGTGAGGTTTGTTTTTGTCACACAAGCATGTTTGAGCTTCTGCAAGAACCAATGAGATTTATTCTTGCATGACAAGCAAGTGCAGTTGAGCTTCCGTTTTTACCATATTGTCCCTATGCATGTGCATCAGTCAATGTTTTTATGTCAATAAAAGCCGAAATTAAATCTGTTCATCGTATAAAGTAATTGTGTATCTTCAGAAGACTTGGATTAAACCGCTGTATTCATATGGATTACTTCTTGAACTTTTTGAAGCATCAAAGATTTGTTTGAATGCACTTAAAATTATCTTCATTTGTGTTTTGAAGATGAGGAATATAGACTTATAGGTTTGATTTGGAATGACACAAGAGAATGATTTTTGGGTGAACCTTCACTTTAATGCTATACTATACAATGTCATTGTAGAGTTTGGGGAGGGCATTTTTCTGTTTCTGAACGACAATACACCAACAAACAAGTTAAAATCACAACATTTTCTAGAATGCCGTTGTATGCCGTTGCATTAATTGTCCTCACAGAAATTACTGGAATAACCAGACCCATTAATTAGAAAGGGGTGATCATATATTTTGGAAATATAGTGCATGTGAGAAGTTGAAATTGTTGGTATTAAAAGTTTTAAGGCCACAAGATGAAATGCATGTCATTTGACAAATATTGTTCCTCTATCAAATATCATTAAGAAACATGTTTTTCAGCAATGCATGGTCTGCGTGGACTTGAACCTGCCGCAGTAAATAAGTGAGAGTGCTTGTGTGAGTAGTTTTGAGATAGCTGGCTCTATTCTCAACGTTTAAAAATATCCCATGTAACACTAGCCTGTATGTAAATGTGAATGTTTTCATTTCTCCCCCAGACCAACAAATTCATGGTTTCTTTCTACTTGAGACTAATTACTGCACTGTTTCAATATTGTGTCCTTTAAATTACAATTATCAGCAGTTTTATATAGTATTGGTTTATTTCCTTTCTGTGTCAGTTATGTTAATAATGTTGTACTGGTCTGTGTCTTGTTATGCTCGCAGAGTTGTGTGCTGTTTTCTTTTGTTTTGCCGTATGAATACCCAGAGTGATGTCACATGCTGGTTTCTCTGTTCTGCACCGTTATACAGCAATGTTGATTCAATTGTATTTTATTGTGCAGTTAGTTGGTGGAAAACATCTCAAGATAATATCCAAACTTTTGTGGCACTCTGTAAATATTCAGATTTTTATGCTTGTACATAGTTTCAAAACCTGTTGCGTTTGATTTGTTCGTCACAGTAGCAATATGTTGTCATTTCATTAGTGTTAAGTGCATTTATTTACACCCACCGCCATGTGATGTAACTTGTATCATTTTTCTTCAACAGTCACACGATACAAAATAAGAGCAAATAAAAGTTAAAAGAAAATCGGTGTGTTTTTATTTCTAAAAAGTATCTTTTTTAACAATATGTATACAAAGATTGTTTGACTTTACATTATTAACGTGTTCTATTGTTGCAGGTATTTGTGGTCTGTAGGTCCCTCTAGTGGATGGCTATCAATTCAGAATTTTTTTTAGAACTAAATCTGCCTTTTACAATTCAGTGCTGAGAGCATTTTTCCTCAAAACTACATGCATTTTTATTTTATTACTGTTAAAATTAGGGCTTCCAACAGAATAAAATCACAGTCCCTAATTTGAAAGCAGTGGTACTCACACTGAATGTTGCATTATATCCAACTGTATTATATTAAAATGTACATTTTAACAATAAAATCGCGAAAAAATGTAACTCAAATAAAAGATGCCATCTAGTGGCTGAAATGTTTTATATGCATGCATGCACTCAAAACACTGCAGATATCCCACTCTAAAAGTATCATTTAATATGAAAATAGTTTGATAGCAGGCCTATCAGTTTATCAGGGTTATTGTGATTTTTATTCTACATTTCAGAAAGATGATTGAGGAGACCACAAAGGCAATATTAGTTTTATTCTTTTGGAGTAAATGTACAGTTAATGTACCCAGTGCCTCTTCTGAAGACAGGTGTAGGCCTATAAAAGATTATTTTATAGTGATTCAAGACAGTATGATGTAATATTTGTATTCTGAATTGTTTTTATCTTTAATTCATTTCTGTATTTAAGCTTAAACGAAAATGAGGAATGCTGCCTTGGCAACTAACTGAAACTAAATAAGTTGAACTAAAACTGAAATAAATATACATTAAAGCTAAATACAAGTGCATTTATTTACACCCACCACCAAGTAATGTCATTTGATTATTGATGAGCTGTAGCATTTGTGGAATTTGTAGCATTTGTAGAACAAGAGCAAATACATTTCAAAAGAAAATCTTAAACTGATTTTTATTCCTTAATTTTTTTTTTTTAAATAAATATAAATGAAAGCAAAAAAACGCATGCAAACACGTAGGCTACTATAATAGCACATGCATGAATAATACACTGCTTTTGATGGATATTGCTGGTTGTGTATGCTGTGCATTGTTTCTCGATGTTGCATTGTTGGCTTGACCGCTAGGAGACAGACATGCTGTGGTTCCAGGAATATCTGACACACACACACACACACACACACACACACACACACACGTCCTCTTCCGGGTGTGTTTGAAAAGACTTTCACTGAGCTGTGGAGGGATTCACTGGGTGTCTAAGAGACCCACAGCAACTCAAACTCAAGCCGAGCCCATTTTTATGAAAAGAGCCGTGCAGCAGGAAAGAGAAGCAGGTGAGTGCTGATGAACTATCAACTGTTGCATCGCTGCTCCTGTGTGTGTGTGTGTGATGGCTAAAGCATGCAGGGCTGATCCTCTGCCTCTCCTGCTATGGGGAAAAGTGACTGAAGGACATTCAGACAGAATAACAGACTGTCGACGTATTGTCTACTCGGTTCAGATCGTTTCTCGCCTTGGATGATGAGGAGAAGAGTAGAAGTGGGGTTAAAAAAACTGAATGTCACCCCGTCATAATTATGCTATCAATTATGTTCATGCTTAATGACGGTCGTATCATTGATATAAAAGCGGCATAGAGAGTAAAAGTGCAGGTTTACGGCGTTTTGTGACGCATAACTCGACTGAAGCGCTCGAGGCAAAGGAAGTAACTCGATTGCAACTTTGTGACGCGCGGCGCAACAATGAAGCAACACTGAGAGCTCGGATTCCAGGAAGGAAGAAGAAAGACCGTGTTAATTAAACAACAAAACTTGTGTTTACAAAGCAGATGGTTTTTAGCAAACACCTTGTATTGCTTTTGGGTTTCTGCGTGTTCTGCCTGAAAAGTGAAAAATCGTTTACGTGTCCATCTACTATGGCGAATGATTAGCTTATGAATATTAACTAGGTCACGTGACTGGACTCTCCAATGAGGAGTGCAAAGCGTGACCTAAGCCTTCGCCGTATTAGGTTTCATCATTTTATTGTTTATGGCTTCTTTTTTTTTCTTTTCTTTTTTTTTTAAAGGAAAAGTGGGCTTCCTCCTGCAGTTGTTTATGGCCTACTTTTACCCTCCTTCTGTTAAAACTAAATAGATGCTTAAACTTTATGAATATTTAATTTCAAACTGCCTCAGTTATTGACTGGGTGAGTGAATTATCACAATGTACACAATTTCCTTGTACAAGATGGTTTAACAATCTCTAAAACTAGGACACATTTTAATTACATGCAGTAAACGTATGAAATTTGACAGATGAGGCAGTGCAATAATATTATGGAGTTGCTTTTGGCATTGAATTTACCATTTTTGATATTGTCGTTTGCTGTATATGAAAATATGTAGAACTCAATAATTAAATGATATCCGAGCCTTGGTTTGGAGAAAGCATATCACCATGTGTAATTGGAGCTTTATTATACAAGCCCATAATAACTCCACTTTCTAGGTGAACTCACACAGACATAGAGACACTGATTTCATTATTCATTAAGCTGCATTTAGTCTAGTTTAGTCTGCTTTATAAGTATCTATGTCCTTGTTGAACCATAAACATTTTGGATGTGAGTAGTGTAGACTGATGTACAAACTAAGTGCTGCAAATGTCATTTTAGTGAGTGGACACATTTATTTACTGAATTAGAATTTCTTTGTCTAGAGGAATGTAGGATGCAAGTTTATAAGATGCACTGCATATGACTTTGTCACATAATATTAACTAAAATGCATTTAAAACTAACATACGATCAGAAAGAATGTGCATATGCTGATTTACTAACCCATCTTTTTCAAGCTCTGTCATTGAAAATTCAATTTCGGCATTCAATGCTGGTTTCTGGGTATAATAATGGCCTGTAATAATTACAGGTTGTTTGTACTTCAAATGCACTTTTATTCTGTGATGTGCAGCATAATGCCAGAATGCCTTCTTGAAACCTCAGCCTCAGTGGAATTCTAACATTTACTTGAATTCAGCACAAGAAGGAAAAACAGTCGGTCAGTTGCTCACACCTATGTTTACTTTCAGGAATGTCAGAAGCTAGTTTTGACTCGGAGAAGAATGCCTCGCAGGATAATCGGTCGGACCCTAACGAGCAGGGCCCTCAAAATACTGCTGACTCTCTGAGTCAATCAGAGGAAAGCAAAAACAGCCTGGATGAGACACACATGACTGAAATTGACATCAGTGAGGAGGACAAGGAAGTTGGAAACCACAAATATACTCTTGATGAGGATGATGAGGATGAGCATTCTCAGGCCCAGAGTAAAACTAGTGGAATAGTTGAGGATAATGCTGAAGCGACGAGCAGTGTGGCAGCAGAAGCTGATGTGAAGGTGACAGTAATGAGCTGTAGCTTGGCTTATGCTTGATCTCATTTTTCACTCTCAGAAAAAAAAGGTACAAAAGCTGTCACTGGGGCAGTACCTTTTCAAAAGGTACACTTTTGTACCTTTTAGGTACTAATATGTACACTTTAAATACTTATATGTATCTTTAAGGTACCAATATGGACTCTTTAGGTACAAAGGTGTGCCTTTTGAGAAGAAGATACCGCCCCAGTGACAGCTTTTGTACCTTTTTTCTGAGAGTACATGTCGCTGTGATTTCAGGCTTTTTTAAATATAATTTGAATCAGCTGAGTTATCTGTGAATTTAGAAGAGCTAGACCTCTACCTGAATGAATTATGAATCATATCTCTCTCTTTCCATGTCTTCGTGAGGTTCTCTGTGCAGGTGGTGGTGCATTTCTTTAGCCTGTTCTGGTACATTTTGCTTGGCTGTCGCTGTTATTATTGCATTTAAATATTTTACTTTTTTATGCTTTTTAGTTTGCAGACTTGTCGTTGTTGTGCATTGTAGTTATGTGATGCATATTACAGTTTTTTTTTTGTAATTAATTTTACATTGTATATTTTTATTTGCTGCAACTGTTTTTTCAGAATTTTAATAACATAACCATTTATTGGTCATCAGCCATAATTTATCGGCCGATACCGATATGGTGGCCGATATATCGTGCATCCCTAATTTATTTTCAATTATAATTAATTATATATCAGTGATTATCTCAACTTATTAATAATCCTCTTAATGCAACAGTGGAATCCTAGCAGAGAAGTGTGAACATTTCTTTCTAAAGCAGATGATTAGTTTGGTGAACAAACGTTTTTTAGTATATAGTGTATTTTTATTTGCTGCAACATGTCACTCTTTTTTTTTTTTCTAGCCAACGAGGTTTTTTCATCAAATAATATTTTTTGAAGTACAAATACTCCATGCAATCTTTCTATTAATATGGCACAAAAACTATATGTAGCCTACTGTATACCAATAATTTAAACATAGTTTCATTCATTTTTTAATTTTAGATGAAGCATTGGACAACAGCACACTTCTATTACCAACTATGTTTTTTTTTTACTTTTTACAATAGCAACCACACGCTAAGTTCCTGTCAATAACAAAGTGACGGTGAAAAAAAACTCTGTTCTGCACTTTTATCTATAAGTATGATTCAAACCGTTCTACAGCCTGTCCTGATAAAGAAAATGTTTATTTGATGCTTTATCTTGTTAAAAGTCTTTCCTTTTCTTCTGATAACTAAGAGGTTTGCTTAAGAGACCCATCTTTAGTTTTCCTTGAGCATTTATTAGACTTATGTGGCTTTCATGAGGAGATGGTGATAAGGGCTCTGTCTGAACAGATTGCCGTTGCTCTCTTTGTTAACGTCTCTAAGCGACTGAACTCTAGGGGACTCTTCTGCTGCACTTGACCGAGGCGCTGTTCATAAACGCTGCTTTAATCATCAAATCTGTTGCATGCTGACAAACTGTGACACTGTGAAATAGGGGCTTTTTGAGTTGTGCCTGCAAAAGATAATGCTTGGCCGTCACTGGAGCACAAACGGACTCACGTGAAACCGAATGCAATGCCAGATCTATCCAGATTTGAATCGCTCATAAGATTCATGTGATTCATCTGAGAGAGTTTAGAGTCACTGACCTCCTGGCACGATGGCTTCAGGTGGCTCTGAAAGATTCATGCACTGTGTGCTGTTTTCACCGGCCAGACAAACAAGCCTCCTGTCTTGAAGATTCAAATCACTGAGCCTCGCAGCAGAACACAAACCTTAATAGCCGTTCTTGTAGTTACATATTAAGCCACATGCAAGGGCACCGTGAAATCAAACCACCTTGAAGTAAGCTGTTATTTTGCTTAAATTGCAACCTGGTACCAAATAGTGACAACAAACCTTGCTTTCATTTGCATATGTAACTGAAGTAGGCACTTTTGGATTTATTGATGTTTGTTGTATAGTGATGGAAATCTGTAATATATCAGTATATTGGATATTAAATTGCGAATGCTCATTTCCACCTGTTTTTAGCTTTGCTGTTATGTAGCACTCATTTAAAGTTACTCTTATCAACACTGTTAGCAGATCTTTGTCTTAAAATCATAATAGAACTATCCAAATGTTTACATTTATTTGTTTTCTTTTTCTTTTTTTTTATGCAACATAGTATAGAAGCAATATAGAAATAATTATCAGTCATCAGCCATAACATATAACAGTAATGCTTTTACAGTAGAAACCTACCGGTGGGCTGTACATTATGTCAGTTTGTAAAATATGCAAATATCACACTGTTTTGAAAGTATTATCACAATACTGAATTAGACCACACACACGTCCATCCTTTCAAGCACATGCCATCTTTCCAAAACCGGCACAGGCCGATAAATGATTTGACTGCAATTTTGATATATTTTTTTTATACTGATATTCACTATTTTATCTGCTTAAAGGTGAAGACCCAACTCTATGCATGTTCTGCAAGACCCCCCTTTCCATTAAACATATTCACTCAGGGACTTGTTTAGCAAGATTTTACCAGAAAAGATTTTAGATTTTTTTATTTTTAATCATATGTTAATTTAACAACAACAACAAAAAAATGAACAAATTTTTGTGTTTGCTTGGTTTTTATTTAGTGTTTATGTAACTCTTGTGTTATCCACACTCCGTTTTTGCCATGAAAATAGCCTTAGATGCTGACATGGCAATAAAAATAAATAACTACTACTAATACTTCACTATTGATCTGTTATTGGTTTCCACAGTATAACCCTCCTGCATCGTGTCCATGTTCATTTGTCAGATTGGTTATGGTCGCTGGTTTGAGTGATTGAATATTTCTCTTTTTTCATGTGTCTTTCAGTAAAAGTTAATGAGGTGAACGAGTGTAAATAGAAGTCTAGCTTTGGTTGTGTCATTAAAACTGTAATGCAGTGGACGTCAGTGTTTTATTGGAGCGTTTAAAGACTCATCAGCAATCTTCTTAGCCATTTGGCACGCAACTTTCTGATGCAATGTCACGTATGCTTCATCTCATTAATGAGTTTTCGCTTGCTCTCCCTCTCACGTTCACTTTTGTCATTGTATAGAGTTAAGTGCGGTTTGAATCATTTTTTCCTGTTTTTACCTTACAATAAGCCCAAAGACTGATATATTAAGATATATCAGTATATATATCTTAATATATGATATATTACTCCATCACGCTGTGCTGTAGTTATTTTATCCCTAACAGGATTATAGATGAACTTGTGGTCATCAATTATTTTTTTGTGTGATTTTTTTTTTTTTCCATAGATGAAGAAAGAAAAGATTCAGCATTTCTTTAAATTTAAAAATGCATTTCAAATCGTTAATAATTATTATTATTATTATTATTTAGTTGGATAGGAAAGGAAAGGAAACAAGAGAGGGTGTGGTTTTGGGACGTCCCAGAAGAAGCATTTTTTTTTGGTCTATAGAGCACATGTTGTACTGTTTCTGCTGTGACTCTGTCTCTGACCTGGACAAATGCTTAATACGTCCCTGAGAAAGCAGCCCTTTTCTTGCACAGTGTTGTGTTTTGTTCATCCAACCATGGGTGAATCTGTGCATGTCCACTTTTCATTCATTATTAGATGAAATTAGACAAATCGAGGACGCTCTGGTGGTGACTTTTACAGCATTACTGCATGTATTACTCAAACAGACATTTTGTAGGTTTATATTTATTAAAAGAATAGGTCAGATTTAGCCCTAATTACATTTGTTCTTTTGTCAAGACTATATGTTATACACCAGTTATATTGAAAATTATGGGTAGTGTCAGCTGGAAAGAAAGGCAACATATACTGTACTGTTTTGTAAAAATATGTTTGTATTTATTAAAGTGGCATTTTATTATATTCCTGCATATAGGATAAAATATAATACACTACCATTCAAAAGTTTGGGATCGTTACGATTTTGTTTTTCTTTAAAAGAAGCCTCTTATGCTCTTAGGGTTGCATTTATTTGATAGAAATGCAGTAAAGCATTAATATAATGACATATTATTACAATTTAAAATAACTTTTCTATTTTATATATTTTAAATTCATTATTGATGTAGTTAAATTTATGTATTATTTTAAATGTGAAAATGATGGCAGTTTTCAGCATCATTACTCAGAAATTATGCTAATAGTCTATGCAGATTTGTTTTTTGTTTTTGTTGTTGTTGTTTTTTATAGGATTCCTTAAATAAGAAGTTAAAAACAACAGCGTTTATTTGAAATAGAAATCTCTTTTAACAAAATGCATTTGCTGTCTATTTTAATAAATTTAATGCATCCTTGCTGAATAAAAGTATAGCATTTCTTAAAAAAAAAAAAAAAAACTTTAATGCTAGTGTATATGAAAATGTGTATATCAGCCCCAACCTGATAAAAATGATCACCAGATGGCAGTGTAGTCAGACTTGGCTATTATTCCTGTACCTTGATTAACTACTTGTTCTGTTTCCCTGTTGATTTAAAATAATTATTCTACAGCAGCAGCTGACCTGATCGGTTTGGGGGTTTTTACACCTTAATTTTCTTTGCTTGTGGTGCTGCAGTTAACCCTTCACGAGCCCTGACAAGCTGCGGTTGTGCAAAGCTTTCTGGTGGAGGTAGCGCTCTGCATCTGAACTCTAGCTTTAACGCTGTTTTGTCCTAGTTCTCCTAGTTATTGTGTGTCTGTGTGTGTGTCTGTGTGTGTCTGTGTCTGTGCGTGTGCGTGTCTGTCTGTGTGTCTGTGTGTGTCTGTGTGTGTGTGTGTGTGTGTGTGTGTATGTGTCTGTGTATGTGTCTGTGTCTGTGTGTGTGTGTGTGTGTCTGTGTCTGTGTGTGTGTGTCTGTGTCTGTGTCTGTGTCTGTGTCTGTGTGTGTGTGTTGAAGGTGGCTATGGCAGAGGAGGCCCACAGAAACCCGGCTGCTCAAATCTCAGTCACCAGAAACGGAGAAGCAGACAAGAGTCACGAGGAAGTGTTTCAGATGGTAAGACATCCTACAGAGAACAAACCTCCCATCATGCACCGCTTCCACTGTTTCTAAACTGCTCTTGTCCTGAACAGAGCTCAACTATCAATGGTGCCATTTGAACACAGAATGTTTGGATATCAATGTTTCCTAAGTATAATGTACAATGACACATAATGACAATGACATTAGGTATTATGACTGCAGCAGTTATGTTCCTAATTATTGATACGAATAGACATACTATTATATTGTTAGTTATTGACTATTGTTACTTAACTATATCAAATCTTATAAAATAAAAACCCATACAGGGATATTTTGTTGGCTTCGTAACTTGAATTATATGATCATTCTGACTGCATTCTAATAGACTTCATCACGCAGTCAATGCTAATGCGGCTCTGATTAAAACAACAATTACGATATTATCGTATCGCACACCCCTAAGTAGTAGTCTTTTTTAACCTTGTGAGGAATTTGTCTTGAGTGTGGACTTTCATCACATTAAACAGAAGAACTAGACACCTTGAATCGCCGGCCATCACTAAAAGTACCTGGTTAAAGCAATGTTTCACACAAATAGTTGTGAATGATGTCTAGCACCTCTTTTAACCCTTGATTATACATGCGTTTGGTGTCGCCAGATGTGTACAATGTGAAACAATGGCGCTAGAATGACACGGCGAGTTGTTTAGCAACAGCCGACCAATCATAAATTAATTAGTGCTTACCTCATTAAATATTCATGAACTTTGTAAAGTCACAGAAACTTTCACACACACGCTGTATTTAGTTTCAGTGTCTGAGGGGAAAAAACTTTTCGAGTCAAGAAGAGACGCTGTAATATGTTTATATGCATTTGTGAGCCTGGAGCACAAAAGCAGTCTCAAGTCGCTGGGGTATATTTGTAGCAATAGCCAAAAATACATTGTATGGGTCAGAATTATAGATTTTTCTTTTATGCCAAAAATCATTAGGATATTAAGTAAAGATCATGTTCCATGAAGATATTTTGTACATTTCCTACCGTAAATATATCAAAACTTAATTTTTGATTAGTAATATGCATTGCTAAGAACTTAATTTGGACAACTTTAAAGATGATTTTCTCAATATTTAGATTTTTTTGCACCCTCAGATTCCAGATTTTCAAATAGTTGTATCTCAGCCAAATATTGTCATATCCTAACAAACCATACATCAATGGAAATATTATTTATTCAGCTTTCAGATGATGTATAAATCTCAATTTCGAAAAATTGACCCTTATGACTGGTTTTGTGCTCCAGGGTCACATTTGTACACTTAAGGTGACTTCAAACGCACACTGCAGTTTTACTTGGCCACGTTTTCACCAATAATATGCCCGTTATGGGTTGTATTGTCAAATTTATGTTATTGACCTCATAAATAATAAGAACATTAACCCTGAGTTTTCAGGGTTTAGATTTAAAACGGATAATATTCCTGGCGCCTAATGTTCCTTAACGCTTTTTTTAAATTAATGATTGACAGCTAAAACTAAGAAGAAAACATAGTACACTGCTTTGTGATATCTTTCATTTTTATTCTTGTTCTCCCTGTTTGATTTCTTTCAAGGATGTGCCACATAATGTCTTCTCTGGACCAATCACATCACACTCCCACAATTCACCTGAAAACTATGCAGTGAATGAGGGAGTGGTCCAAGTGGGGCCGTACACAGGTATAACACTAAGTATGCATTGAACATGACTATCATTTGCTTTTGTCCTTCACACAAACACATGCAATGACTCAGCGTGCTACAGTTGATGCACAAATGAATGTGTTTACATAAGATTACATAGAGATTCGCGGTTTGCTCAGAATCAGTGTTAAAATGTTTATCATTTAAAACACTTCCTTTCATTGTAATAAATGAGATCAGGTTAGAGTGGGTTGTTTTTAGGTTAGTAGTGTTTAGAATATCCTCTCGCTGTCCAGTGCTTCTAATGTGAACCACATTTGTTTGTCTGCGTTTCTCTTTGAGTGTGTTGCAGAGAGAGGGACAATTTGAATTTGAAAAGAAAGGTGTTCCTGGCTCATTACAGAGTTGTCTGTGATCTTTTTTTTCCCTGTCTACTTCCCCTTTCATTATTTCATCCTCGTCTACTATGTGAATTAATTAGGACGGAAACATGGCAACCTGTTATTAGTTTGGTGTAATTGCTGACCACCCCTTTTTATTATTCCTCTATATCTCCCTTTTATTATTCCTCTATATCTCCCTTTTATTATTCCTTTATATCTCCTTCATTCATACTGACAAAAAATGATATCTCAGTATTTTTGGGGTGGATAAGTAAATATGACACTAAAGCCGCCAGTAGGTGGCAGCAAGTCCCTGTCTTAATGAGCGATTCACTGAATCATTCATTCAAAACGATTCATTCAAAACGCCTGATTCATTTAGAAACTAAGCAAGTGACTGTCTTTATGAATGGATCATTGAATCATTTATTCAAACAATTCATTCAAAACGCATGATTCATTTAGAAACTAAGTAGGTGACTCTCTTTATGAATGGATCATTGAATAATTTATTCAAACAATTTGTTCAAAACGCCTGATTCATTTAGAAACTAAGCAAGTGACTGTCTTTATGAATGGATCATTGAATCATTTATTCAAACAATTCATTCAAAACGCCTGATTCATTTAGAAACAAAGCAAGTGCTGTCTTCATGAACGGATCATTGAATCACTGACTCAAATGATTAATTCAAAAACAGATTAATTCAGGAACGAAACACTGCAGTGTTGCTCTGAGACGCACAAATGTTCTGCTCTAACTTTTTCACTGGCGAAACAGAAAAAACACTATTGTGTCTAAAGTGTAACTCACTCAATATTAACTTCATGTTTGTTGAACTGTTATATAAAGTTAATATCACATTTGCGATCGCGCTCATACGCTGATATTCAGGAAAACGGCACTGTTGCTAGTGTGATATTACTCAACTATATCGTATCTTATGAATATTTTGTTGCTTTCATAACTTGAATTACAGGTCATTCTGACTGCTTCATCACGCAGTAAATGCTTTTGGACTCTCAAGACATGTTTCTGTTTGTTTTTTGAGTGGCATACTCCATAATGTCAGCTCGCACATCATTAAAACAACAATTAATATATTATTGTTGATGATAAATATCACACGCCCCTATGTATACCAGTATATTTTGGAGCAAAATTCTGGAGTTTATTTGTTTAAAAATGCAGTAAAAACAATAATATTGTGAAACATTGGTACAAATTTAAATTGTAAATTGTCAAAATTTAAAATGCTATTTATTTCTGTGATGGCAAAGCTTTTTTAGCAGCCATTACTCAAGTTTTCAGTGTCACATGATCATTCAGAAATCGTTGTAATATGCTTAGTTGAGTTTGTTTTAGTTAACCATAACAACACCAGTAACAACCATGTTTTTGATCAGTAGAAACAGATGTGATTTGTCAAACACAGAATTATTTTGGATGTTAATATTGATTGACTTGATTTAGCCAATCATCATCATTTTATCACATCAGATGACGTATTTGAGTCTTGATAGTTTATGCCAGTGCGTCTCAATAAGAGTAGAGGGATGATATTGATATAATGGATGTCATTCTGTCATCAGGTGCTTTGACAGAGCAGCAGACGGCAGGAGCAGTGGTCCTCGCTGATGACATAAAGAGTCCTGCTATAGAGAAGCTGGAGCTGATGAGGAAGTGGAGCGTCAACACATATAAAGTGAGTGATTCCTGTCGTAGTGGTTATGATGATATCTGTGTTCCCTCAAAATGTCTCAAGCATCCATGTGTCAGAAAAGTCTGTTTAGCTTTAACATGCATGTGCAATACTAGTTTAGTCTAGCTTGTGACATTTTTCAGTCATGATCCCTTTGAATATTCTCCCCATCATTTCATGTCTTCTCTATAATATTGCTGTCACAAAAGAGACAGGGTTCTATATATCCTCTGTGCCCCTTTAAATCTTTTGTAGCCCTGTAAATATTTCTTATTTTCAATGTTTTTTCCTCTTTTATTGCCCATTTTGTTAAAAGGGATAGTTCACCCAAAAAATGAAAATTTGCTGTTAATTAACTCACACTCAGGCCATCCAAGAGGTAGGTGACTTTTTTCTTAGTGATTCATAAAATGCAAGTCAGCAGCTGCACTTCTTTGAGAATAAAAAAAGCATATCAGGGAACACAAAATTAATAGCCGTGGCTCCTGATGATATATTGAGGTCTTATGAAGCGAAACGATCAGTCTGTGCAAGAAACAAAAACATTATTTACAACATTATTACCTCTGATCCAGAGCCTCAGGCAAACGGGGAAATATGATTCTTTTCCACGAACTGGTTCTTTCAGACCGTTTGTTTCAGTGAACTGGTTCAAGAACTGGAGCTGAATCAGTTAATTCATCAGAGAATCAGATACGCCGCTATTTCGGCTAATTTCCAGTCGTCTGAAAGTGAGTTTTGATTGAGTAACTTGAAGATCTGTGCTGCTCGAGACACAAACTGATTCAGATGCTTCAGTCTGATGTGATGAACTGATTCAACTAATTCTCTAAAAAGAACCGGTTCAAAAGAATGATTCGTTCACAAAGTGAACCGTTTGCCTGAGGCTCTGGATCAGAGGTAATAATGTTGTAAATAATGTTCAGTTTCTTGCACAGACCGATCATTTCCCTTCATAAGACCTCAAAATATCGTCAGGAGCCATGGCTATTAATTTTGTGTTCCTTGATTTTTTTAATTCTCAAAGACGTACAGCTGCTGACTTACATTTTATGAATCACCAAGGAGCACAGTTTCAGCTAAAGATCTTCTTTACTGTTCTACTGAAGAAGAAAAGGCACCTACATCTTGATTGGGCTGAGGGTGAGTAAACAAACAGCACATTTTCATTTTTGGGTGAACTGTCCCTTTAACACATTTTGTATCTTGTACTGTACCTCTCGCCGCAGTGCACTAAGCAGATTCTGTCAGAGAAGTTAGGACGCGGCTCTCGTACGGTTGATCTGGAGCTGGAGGCTCAGATCGAGGTTCTTCGTGACAACAAACGAAAGTACGAGCATATTATCAAGCTGGCGCAGACGCTTTGCTCTCAGCTGGTGCAGATGCTGCAGACGCAGAGACAGCTGGGCGATGCGTTTGCTGACCTTAGTCTCAAAACACCCGAGCTACATGTAAGTATAAAAACTATATAAAGAACTCTTCTCTGTAATGTTGCATCAGCCAAAGCCTCTTGATTTTAAACGAAATGCTATCAGAGTCCGTTTTTAAAAATGGATATTAAGCATCTTATGTTTTTTTTTTCCCAGTGTAAATTTTAAATGAGGTTATAAAGGATGCACACACATTTTAACAGTGTTTTCACACTTCGTATTAATATTCTGAGAACCAACGATCTCACAAAAATCCTACATATATATATATATATTTTTTTTTTTTTTTAGGTTTTTAATGGCAAAACAATATTGTTAAAAAAAAACAGTACACACTTTCTGGTTGTCAAACTTAGGTCTTCACTATCACTTTTTATCAGTTTAACACATCCTTGCTGAATAAAAGTCTTAATTTCTTTAAAAAAAAGAAAAGAAAGAAAGACTTTACTGACCCCAAACTTTTGAATGGAAGTGTATATTGTTACAAAACATTTCTATTTATTTATTATTTATTTAAATGATGTTATTTTGTTAATCATCAAAGAAAAAAAACTTAAGCAGCAAAAACTGTTTTCAACACTGATAATAAATCAGCATATTATTATGATTTCTGAAGATCATGTGACACTGAAAACTGGCGTAATGATTCTGAAAATACAGCTTTGATCACAGGAATAAATTACAGTTTAACAGATATTCACATAGAAAACAGATATTTTAAATAGTAATAATATTTCACAATTTTAGTGTTTTTTCTGTATTTTTGATCAAATAAATGCAGCCTTGATGAGCAGAAGAGACTTCTTTTAAATCTTACTGATCCCAAACTTTAGAACAGCAGTGTGTACAAAATATCATAATTCTGGCATTGGATTGAATACAGTAATATTTCACTCACAGATATGTCTGCGTAGCATATATGGATTCTCAGCTCTTTCATTGATAAATAATATTGCAATTCTGACACAATAACTGGATGCCTTCCATACAGTATCATTTATTCATGGACTGTTTTGGATACACTTTTGGTATTGATGTTTCCTCCTTGAATACTAAATACTTTATGACTGGACTCTATCCAGAAAGTGCACTGGTCCCTCGGGGAGTAACATTTCATTTGAATTCATTTATTTTCAGACGGGGTAAAGTCTCATTGCAGTATCTATTTCTGGGTTATTTTAGTAGCTGCAAATATACATGCAATCTCTATTTATTGATGTGTTTCAGGAGGAATTCGGCTACAATGCTGAAACCCAAAAACTCCTGGCGAAAAATGGAGAAACTCTATTTGGAGCTATCAACTTCTTCATCTCCAGTGTTAAAACTCTAGTGGATAAAACTATAGAGGACACCTTGATCAACATTAAGCAATATGAAGCAGCAAGGTCTGGATAGATCGTCGCAAGCCACTGTGTACTACTTTTATATTAATGTATTGAGCAAAACAACCCTCATTCTCTAAGATCTGTGCTCTTTCGGTAGGATTGAGTATGACGCGTATCGCACAGATTTAGAGGAGCTCAATCTGGGTCCACGGGATGCCAACACGCTCCCAAAAATCGAGCAGTCTCAGCAACATTTCCAGATCCACCGCGAAAAATACGAAAAGATGCGCATCGACGTCTCGGTCAAACTCAAGTTTCTGGAGGAAAACAAGGTAGGCAAATGTATCTTGTGAAATTCACAACATTTAAATAATCTTGTTTGTCTTTCATACTTTAATCATTTACATAATGCAATGAATTTCTGAAGTTAATATGGTGAAAATCAAACGTCAGTGAATTTTCTCATGTTTTCTGGACTGTCGGCTGTAGCTAGTAACTGGTTATGCGGGTTATTCTGTACCTATAGGGTTAATGTTAGCAAAGTTGGCGACCTAGGCAGTTAAAAAAAAAGAAAAACTCACTGACTGTATGTACATTTAAAATCCTGCACCTTGTAAATGTGATTCTGATGTTCCTGTAATCTTTTAAAATATAGTAACGTGCTCCATCTCTGAAACAACCTTCATTTTTGGCTGATCTAACCCAACCCTCTTGTCTTTCTTGTTTAATATCCTGGAAACAACGTACCGCATTACAGAAGTCAAATATGTAGCGAAGGCCCTTTCAAGTTGACTAAGATGAGCTCTAGCTGATTGAGACTGATCTTTACTGTTGAGATGATGTATAATAAACATAAAAATAGTTGGTTATCACTAAAGTTGTCTAGCCCTTTTTTTCGTTTTAGACCGGTGAAAAAAACATTTTCAAATTAAAAAAAATCGCTACTTCATCGGAATGGTACGAAACGCGCTGACTTTTATGGCAGTCACTATGTGACCACAAAAAAAAATTGTGGACTTGATTCGAAAAGGCTAAATGGTCGTAAAAAAAAAAAAAGTCTCACTTGTGGTCTTCGCGGTCAATAATGAAAGCTCTATTGGAATCTAGTGGCTAAACCATGGAATTTCAGATGTTTTTCTTGGTTACACTTTATTTTAAGGTGTCCTTGTTACAGTGTAATTATACATTTAAGAATAATTAACTACATGTACTTACTATATGGTAAGGGTTACTTGCATGTAATTATGCATAATTAATTGTTATTATAATAGTAAGTACATGTAACATGTAACAAGGACACCTTAAAATAAAATGTTACCTTTTTTTTTTTTTTTACGTCCACCAGATGGAACTAATCTGCCTTCAAAAATTGTATTTTAAAGGCATTGTCTCTATTTTAACATGAAATACTGCCAAAATTTAAAAGTAATAGAAAAATATTCTAAACATATTTTTTTGTGTGTATTATTTTCAATGGGTAAAATCGATCGTAATTATTGCATAAATATTAAATAGTACCATGAAATTCTCTCAAGATACGAAATAAAAAAGAACAAATATTATCGAACACAAATTGATTTCACTGAAAATAAAAATGTTTCAGTTCACTTTTGACTGCGAACAACACAAGTGTGACTCCCAAATGAACTAGACCCCACTGAATTTGCCAGATACATTTTAGGATATAATCAGCAATAAATCCAATACAATAAAATATGCATTTTTTATTTTTGTATGCATTTATTTTATTTATTGAAATAGTTTAATTAATGGTTAAGCTGTGCTTTCAAACCTGCTTTGACATCAGAGATTTATTCAGACCCCCCCCCCCCTCAAGCAAATCATACTAACGTATTTTTAGATGACAGTTTTGGCTATTATCAAGTTACCACAGTTTTATTTCTAGTAACATTAATAACATCTATGTTACCATGGTTCCCCATTTTAGGGGAAGAAGCGTTGTGCTTTATTTCAATTTAAATACAGTATAGTGAATGCCAAATGTGCTACACCTAAAGCTCATAATAAAACTCAGTTAAGTAAATAAATGGAAATGGTTTTTATAATTATTATTAACCTGCCCAATTACATGCCCAAACAAAAAATCTCTTTCATACTGATGTTAGTTATTTTTTCTTTTCAGCCCTGTGATTTATGATTTCCGTCCTCAGGGTTACAGTTTTCATTCCCTTTTCCTCAGGTGAAGGTTTTACACAACCAGCTGATTCTCTTCCATAACGCCATCGCCGCGTACTTCGCAGGCAACCAGCAGCAGCTGGAACAGACCCTGAAACAGTTCCACATCAAGCTAAAGTTACCGGGAGGAGAAACTCCCTCTTGGCTGGAGGAGCACTGATAAAAAGCAAAAATGTCTCGCTATATCACTCCTTTCAGGACACTAAACCTGTCAATAAACGTGTGAGACAGGAACCCGTTTTGATCACAGAAATACTTAGCTCCTCTCTTTGTCCTTGCTGTGTCTGACTTTACACTTGAAGTTTAGTTTCTAAACGAATGCTCTTTCTTTAGTCTGAGAGTTTGCACGCTCTTGCGCAACAGAAACAATCTTGTTTTTGAATCAAGTTACCAGCACTTTAATGGTAGACGAAATACAGTCAGGAAGAAATGAATGTTGTAGAGACTTTAAAGTAGTTATCTGACAAACATGATTTAATCAACCTTGCCTTTTCACCCTGTTTTAGACCTCGCTGGTGTCAGCCTTTCTTTATGTAACCGCACTGTTATATTGGTATCAAATCAAATACATTGGCATAAATGTCCACACTGCCGCCTTAAAGGGCATGTTGATCTGAAAACTTGAAGTTTTGCTATGCTGCGTTTACTGTCACAAGAACTCAACTCAATCTTTGGCTTTTTGTGATAAAGTTTGCTATGCATTTTTAAAGTGCACCTTTTGTAGATCCCATTGAAAGGTGATGAGGCTTCGTTTCTGACTTGATGTGCCTTGCTCTTCGTCAGTGTTGTCAGGAGGTATAATAACAGATGCTCTCATTGCCTTTCTACAGACCACAGAATGGACCGATAAACACAGCCACACATGCATATAGACCAGCAACTTGAAATTACAATCTGTGCTATCTGTTCTTTTGTTTCATTGTTTTTAAGCATTGCACTTCTTCGATAACTAAGCCACTATTTTGTATAAAATGTAAACCAAACTGATTTGACATGAGAGAGCATGTCAGCTGCCTGGGTTGTTCTTTCTCTGTGCATCTTCTCTTTTTTTATTTTATTACTATTTATTTATTTTTTTTGCATGTCAGAGGAAGAAGTACTCTTCTAAATCATTCCCCTCTTATTATTGCTGTAAGTGTCTAATGAGTGCAGCTCTTCAAATACAGTAGTGTATCGTTCGGTCAGATTAGATGATGAGTTAATCACATGCTAACCTGAAAAAGCTTTAAATTCAGGCATTACCATGGGGGAAATAAAAAAACTTCAAAGGAAATGAATGTAGAGCAAATTAATATACAAACAGACAAACAATGGATGCCAAATGGAATGTTCAGATTTACTGAATACAAAGTAATGCAGTTGTTTATTCTTAAAACACCCTCGCAGCTGGTTCTGATCTTTCATTTGATGTACAACTAACTACCTTTTGATTCTCGTGTGATTTTCAGTTCTGTCTTAGCGGCACGCAGACACCAATGCACAGTAAATGTGTGAGAACTGACTGACATGCATACACATGCATGCATTTTTCTTTGGGTATAAAAGAATTTTGCTGTGTGCTTTTTTTGAGGATTTGTTGATTAATGGTGGATTGGGTGTGTAAGAATGTTGAATCATGGGAGACAATAAAAAAAAAAAAAACTTTTCATTCTTAAGTCTTCTTGTGTATAACTCTCTTTTAATTAAAAATGATTAAATCCTTCCAGTGGTAATTATTTATGTTTTTTGTTTCATATTACATCTGGCATTACGGTCAATACTGCATTCTGGCTACAGGGGGCGCTGTTGTCTTTCTTACTAGTTCACCCAGTGTTTTCACTGACTTTATTCAATTAAATTAAATTAAATTTATGCATTTAGCAGACGCTTTTATCCAAAGCGACTTACAGTGCATTCAGGCGATAATTTTTTTTTTTTTTTATCAGTATGAATAAAAAAATATATATATATTTTTTTTTACTTTATAAATGATTCTCGACTTTTTTTGGAATCCAAAGCCCCTATTATTTTGTCCCAGACAATAGGCCTTCATATCTGAGCTGATATGTACTTATGGTGCTTCTGTTGTAATACAAACAAACTCAACATATAATGTCAGCTTAATGTGCATCTTTAGTTTTATGTTAATATAAATAAAATAAAATAATTGTAAAACTTATTTGGGCTTCCCTGGAAGTTTGTGAGGTCTCCTAGTGGGTCCTAGTATTTTATTATTATTATGCAAAACTCATTTAATGATGGCACTGTGAATGTGGAGATGGATTTTAATTACATTTTTTCATAATTATTTTTCTGCAAGGCCTCATTATCACCTTTATGTAACTGGTGAGAAATAATCCTAAAGAAGATCTGCCCATCTCTGCATAACATGCCATCTTACATATTCAATCATTTTATATATTTAATACACTGAAATTGTGTTACTAAACATCTGACGTGTAGAATCTGTATGTATGAAGAAGGGTTTTTTCTTCTTCTTTTTCCCCACAGTTGCTTTTGGGACATTAAGGGATGATTTTCTTTTTTCTGGAACATTTTGTATTTAGAATAGTTAAATATTAGATTAATATATTTACTTATTCACAGGAATGGAAGACCCAAACACAGGAATAGATTAAATTGATTTTTCACATGAAGAAATAGGCCTATGAGAATGCTTGACTCACTTCATTTTGTTTCCCTAAAAAGCAAAATGTATGCAAATCACTAGGAAAAAATGTTAATGGGATTCGAGCTCATACAGTTTTTGAAGACACTAAATACATTTCAGTCAGTGGTTCTAAAATTACCCTCAGATTGCTATTTGTATCTGGACACTGCTCCATCGTCTCCATGGTTGCCAAATAGACCTGCTTATGTTTAATAAACTGTATGACATGTATGTCAATATTAATATTTGCGTTACACTCGCCACAGCCTACGTCACGCTCGATTCACCTGAGCCAGTCACTGCGCATGCGCGGTAGCTCGGCTCTCGGCACCTGCGCATGCGCAGTGCGTCCGCTGGCTGTAACGCTCTGCATCTTTGAGCGTCGCTGCACAGAGTCTGTGAGCCCGACACACACCTACCCTCGGATACATGCACCTGCTGCAACAGGAGAAAAAAAAAGAAGTACATCTTTTCCTCAGCCTGTAAACACGGTAAGTTCTTGAACCCAGTTTGAATTGCATGTTTAGTTCTGTAAATTTCGTTTTGGATTTTACAGTTAATTCAGCTGCTGAATGATTTTGTTTCTTCTTGCAATGACCTGTACTGGACCATATGCGTATGCCATGTATTCCCAGACTGACTAAAAAATAAGTGTATTATTCTCCCTGTGATTCTCGCATGGGCATCACACATTAGGCAAATAGACGTAGGTATGTGTGTGTGTGTGTGTGTGTGTGTGTGTGTGTGTGTGTGTGTGTGTGTGTACCTGGTATTCCCACATTATGGGGACCAAACGAGGATAGTAATAGCAGTATATTTTGACCTTGTGAGGACATTTTTTTTGGTCTCCATGAGGAAAACAGCTTATAAATCATACAGAATTAAGTTTTTTGAGAATCTAAAAATGCCTGTAGTTTTGTGTGAGGGGTAGGGTTAGTGTGAGGAGATAGAACATACAGTTTGTACAGTAGAAAAACCATTACGTCTATCGAATGAACCCATCAAACATGGAAACCCAACATGTGTGTGAGTGAGTGTGAGTGTG